TACATTTAAAAAAAAAATAGCTTTTTTGCCACACCTTTTTTGAGTGTCTTTTGTGTTTAGTTTGCAATACTTGGTAATACTTTAAAATAAAGATAGCTCAGTTAATTTTTTGGCACTGGTGGTAGGAGAGCAAACAAGCCTATGATTTACAATACATTTATTGACATTGGTCATCATTCAGTTTATACAATGAAGTTAAAATGAGGGAGAGAAGGGCTGTTGCATGTATGCTAATGGCAATCCTTTATCTTTGTCCAGGTTCGGTGATTTCAAGCAATTCGCACTCTACATGTACATGACTATGGGACTGTTTTCATACGAGATCTGGCAGGCGAATTTGCCATTTGCCTTGCCAACCGTATCCCTTCTCAACAAGCTTCTCCAACGGGTCAACAAACCTGTCCAGGAAGGGATGTTTCGCTTTGCGGAGTTGAAGGCATTCCTTGAGGCCAGAAAACTGCCAAACGTTGTATGGATGAGCGAGGATGGAACACGCATCACTGGCCAGATTGAGTATGACCCCAAAAGAAATTTGTTAGTTGGTTTCGTTCCACATCTCAACAGAAATGGCTTGCCCTGTAGTGATGGCCTGGAAGCTGTGAGCGAGGAAGCCATGAAGGAGATGTTTGCCAACAGGGTGAAGGCCGGCAATGCTCATGTCATCATGGCTCAGCCTCTGGCAGATGAGGCCCCCCCATTTTGTCTTTCTCTATTTGGCACTGACAACAGATATACAGCAGAAGATGTGGCTAGACGTTGGGAATGGATGAAACAAGAAGCCAAAGAGCATGGCATCACCATCGCAGGCTTTTCAACTGATGCAGACTCCAAGCCCCTGCGAGCAATGCGCTGTCTGGCAATGCCAGAGGCTTGTGACAATGGAGACAAGTGGGAAGGATGGTTCGTTCAAGACTTGCATCCTGAGACTATCTTCATTCAAGTAAGTGAATTGAATTATCAAAAATTTCATGAATAAACCTTTTAGTAGTTAAGTACTTCTTTTAAAAAAATATCGATAAAATTTAATAAAAAGCAACCTGTTGTCTCACACATTGCTATGGTGACTATTTATCGAGAAAGAAATGGTTAATATGGTTTCCATCACCCTTGTCTAAATTACCTTTGCAAAAAGTATTGGACAGGGCATTACAGCTTCTCACCATATTCATTAATTGGAATCCATTAGTATGAGCTGTTGTGAAGATCATTGTAGTGCATTTAGAATGCATGGTTTTGTGTCACAAAGCTACATGTTAAGTGAAGCAGCTGATCTGTTAATCACCAGGTTGTTCCTATAAGTCTCCGTTAAAAATATTGGTTTGGAGTGTTTGTAACGCAACGCCTAAGTGTGCCTAACTGTGTAAAGCTTTCATTGAATTTTATCGATAATTTTTTTTAAAGAAGTATTTAACTACTAAAAGGTTTATTCATGAAATTTTTGATAACTTGACAAAATCCTTTTTGATTTCTCAATATACCAGGAGAGGGGGCATTTTAGTGTATACTCTTAATGTCTTCCAAATATTGTGTTTTAAGACCCTGATTCTCATTCAATGTTTCTAACTTAGAGCTATTTTTAGTCAGTTAAGTACTGATCATCAAATCTATAATAATAAAATACGATTGTGTTTTTATTGTTGCAGGACACTACCCACATTGGCACGAAGCTCAAAACATTATTTTTGAATAGAGGTTGCTCCCTCATCATGGGTACCTTCTGTGCTTCTTCCACCTATGTCCAAGATGTCATCGATAACGTCTCCAAAGAACATCATGGATTGACACAGTCTGACATGGACCCCAAGGACAAAATGAATTTTCGAGCTGTTCTAAAGCTGCTTGATGACCGTGTTTTGAAACAACTAAGGAAGATTCCTGATGCTGCAGCCACAGAGCTCTTTTTGTGTCTTGTGGCAGAATATCTGGATGCTTTTCTTCAGCCTCAAATGCCACCCTTGAAACGCATATCAAGCGTGTGGAAGTTCACCTTTTTCCTCCGTTTGTGGCGACAGTGGCTCATTGAGGAAAACTATGACCTACAGCAATGTTTCCTATCACCTCAGACTTATTTGTGTATTGAACTGAATGCCCATGCCATTGTTCAAGTTGCAATCAAAATGCGGGACTGTCCCTGTAGGCTTGTCCCACATCTGTTCAGCAGTCAGCCTTGCGAGAGTTGCTTCAGAGCTGCACGTTCACTAACGTCAACCTTTGCTACTGTGGTGAACTTCAGTATGTTGCAACTGCTGAGAAAGCTTCGAAGGATCGACCTGCAGACACACATTCTTCATGAACTTAAGGACGAATATGTCTTCCCACGGTGAGCATTGTTCAATTGAATACTATGATTTTTTTATTCCATTTGTTTATTCTAACAAAGGAAATTGTAGGCCTAATTCTTGAATTTCGGCAATATTTGTTTGTAGAACTGTGGATTTTTTTTAAAAGTGCCTCGTGCTTTCTGATTTTTCTGATTTCAGTGAGATAAGGAAACGTAGTTTGGCGGAGAAGGCTGCTGGACTACGAGTAGATACTGAGATGCCCTCAGACGATCAAATCCTGGAGCAGATTGCCGTGGCCAGATCGGAGGCACGTGACTGTGCGGCCTTCGTTTGCATGGATCCACAGGACGTCGACGATGTCATTTCGTGCCCCTTGAGGCCAGGTGTGGGCCTTGATCTGGACGTGTCGGACGAAGAGGACACTGAGGACCCTCCTGTCATCCTTGATAGCCCCGACCCTGACCCACAAGACCTGGCGCTCCTTCATGTCAGCGAAGATTGGCCTGGTGGTGGAGAATGCCCGGAAACCCCACCCGAAAGTCCCTTTGATTAAGAAGACCACTCTCTGCTGGATGCTGTCGACTGGCGTGACAAGGATCAGCGCGGACCGCTTGCTCAGGGTGCGCGAACCGATGCCAACCACCAACACTCCCAATCCTGTTGCCGATGTGTCTTCGCAGGATGTCGTGCGGAAGAGAGACGTTGCGGTTGGAGAGTGGTGCCTGTTTCGCGTGAAAGGTCAGGTGCGCGTTGGGCGTGTTCTTGGCTTCCGATATCTGACGGGGAGGGGCCGAGAGTCCAGGTACACCCTCCTCTCAGCCCCAGTTGCCGTACCTCATGGAGTGACGGCCAGAGGGCTCGGATGCGTCTGCAGCTGGTTTGACCACGCGGACGACGGAACGCTGACGCACAGTGATGTCAGCAGGGTTGTTCCTGTTGAAAGCTACTTGCGCACTTTGGCTGCACCCAAAGCAGTCAGTGGGAAGTTAAAGATGTCTGACGTCGCATCAGAATACATCAACAATTTGTAGTAGTAATGCCTTTCTGGAGATATGCACTCTGGTGGACGGTGTTCAACTCTGCACTTTGAGTGAAGCATGAATCCCATCCTTGCCAGCATGCAGCTCGTGATATGGCTGATAGTGGTGTTGCGGTGAAGCCCTCTGCACTCCCGAGTGCAGCACGCTCGCCCTCACCCTCAAGCAGACAGATAAACAGCAGTAAAAACTTAAGATTTCATGCCTGACAAGCATCACTTCAATAGAAGTCTATGTTGCGTGACAAGTGTATGAGGATCTCTAGGTAAGCACTAGAAACCAAATTTTATTTTCTTTTGTTAAGTTTTAAGCATGATGCATAAAGTAATTCATTATTTTTTTATTTTCAGTTTTTTTTATTGGTGCTTGTCCGCACTTTAAAAAGAGGAATGAAGTTAAAATTTCTCAGAGCTTCTGCCTATGTAGTTGTCATTGCACTTCTGAAATGGCATGACAAACTAAAGAAAACAAATGAAATTCCTTCAGCTAAACTGCCCGCAACAACCAAGTTAGTATTGATCTATTTTGTTCTTAAAATTCTGCTTTTCAAATGTTACTTACGGATTTTGTTTCAGATGCCATTTTTGTATTCATTCCCAAGTCTGTTTGCTGTTAAAAGACTTGAAGAATTGCTTCAATGCAAGCTAAGTATTTAATATTATTTTCTCTCCATATTGCAATTTATTTTCTACTAATTTCTTTTTCTGTGTCATTAAAATGTCCAGACAGCTTCCATCACCCTTCTGTTTTAACTGCATGTGGCATGGTTAGGTGTCTGGATTTTTTTTACTGCATTTGCAATTTGTTGCAGGGAGCTGTGAAAGTGAAGTGTTGGTTATTCGCTTCATGAGACCAGTTTGTGGATTGTGGTTGGTGCCTCCCTTCTGAAATGGCATCTATGGGCATGATAAAACAAACTGAATGGTGAGTGCTTTTGTATTTGCTTTTAGTGAGGTAATGTTGTGGCGTTCAATGTGTTAATCGCTTGCCTTTCATTTTCCAGATTTTATTTACCTAGACAGTTTGTATGTTTGATTACTTAAACTATTGCTCAAATGCAAGCTAAGTATTTTTTATTATTTTCTCTCCATATTGCTGTTTATTTTCTATTAACATTTCTTTCTGTGTCATAAATTGTCCAGACAGCTTCCATCTCAGTCCATACCTTCTGTTTTTACTGCATGCTGTGCATGGTTGAGTAAGTCTGGTTTTTGTTATTTACTGCATTTGCAATTTGTTGCAGGGAGCTGTGAAAGTGAAGTGTTGGTTATTCGCTTCATGAGACCAGTTTGTGGATTGTGGTTGGTGCCTCCCTTCTGAAATGGCATCTATGGGCATGATAAAACAAACTGAATGGTGAGTGCTTTTGTATTTGCTTTTAGTGAGGTAATGTTGTGGCGTTCAATGTGTTAATCGCTTGCCTTTCATTTTCCAGATTTTATTTACCTAGACAGTTTGTATGTTTGATTACTTAAACTATTGCTCAAATGCAAGCTAAGTATTTTTATTATTTTCTCTCCATATTGCTGTTTTTTTCTATTAACATTTCTTTCTGTGTCATAAATTGTCCAGACAGCTTCCCTCTCAAGTCCATACCCTTCTGTTTCTTCTGCATGCTTCATGGTTGATACTCTGTTCATTGCCTGTTATTTACTGCATTCGCAATTTGTTGCAGGTAGCTCTGAAAGTGAAGTGTTGGTTACTCGCTTCAAGAGACCAGTTTGTGGATTGTGGTTGGTGCCTCCCTTCTGAAATGGCATCTATGGGCATGATAAAACAAACTGAATGGTGAGTGCTTTTGTATTTGCTTTTAGTGAGGTAATGTTGTGGCGTTCAATGTGTTAATCGCTTGCCTTTCATTTTCCAGATTTTATTTACCTAGACAGTTTGTATGTTTGATTACTTAAACTATTGCTCAAATGCAAGCTAAGTATTTTTTATTATTTTCTCTCCATATTGCTGTTCATTTTCTATTAACATTTCTTTCTGTGTCATAAATTGTCCAGACAGCTTCCCTCTCAAGTCCATACCCTTCTGTTTCTTCTGCATGCTTCATGGTTGATACTCTGTTCATTTGCCTGTTATTTTACTGCATTCGCAATTTGTTGCAGGTAGCTCTGAAAGTGAAGTGTTGGTTACTCGCTTCAAGAGACCAGTTTGTGGATTGTGGTTGGTGCCTCCCTTCTGAAATGGCATCTATGGGCATGATAAAACAAACTGAATGGTGAGTGCTTTTGTATTTGCTTTTAGTGAGGTAATGTTGTGGCGTTCAATGTGTTAATCGCTTGCCTTTCATTTTCCAGATTTTATTTACCTAGACAGTTTGTATGTTTGATTACTTAAACTATTGCTCAAATGCAAGCTAAGTATTTTTTATTATTTTCTCTCCATATTGCTGTTTATTTTCTATTAACATTTCTTTCTATGTCATAAATGAATGATCAATTTCTTGTGTTCCTTTCAGAAACTTATCTCTCTAATTTCTTTTTCAGAGTTGTCGCATTGAATTTCATGACTGCCAAGGATTTTCTTTGCCGCTTTGAGCGAAGCTGCAAGCCTGTTTTAGTGTATCCTGCGCTCCATGGAAATAAATCATTCAAGCATTAGTGCAAAGGTAAAAATTCCTTCTGTTTACTTTCTGTTTAATCTCTTGTTATGGCTAGCAAAAATTCTTACTGGAAATTTATTTGTTGCAGGACATTATGTTTGAAACCAGAATATGTTGAATCCCCATGCAAGAGCCTGCCCTGTGAAATTTACTGCCCATAAGCCTCCCAAACCCAGCAGCAATTCGAGTTTCGAGTTATGTAACTGTTATCATCATTGCCCTTTTTGCACTGTATCTGTAAAATATATTTAAAACTGAATTTGTCCTGACCTCTAAGTTTATAACTTAATTAATGCCCACCTCCTAATTGAAAATATACCACTGTCAGAAACTCTCAGTATCCATAGCCACACCGCAAAATCAATACACTAGTGTTTCACTTTTTGATATCAAGGACAACCAAACTTTTACTCTGTTGGCTTAAAAATTGAGAATGACATTAACACATTCAAATTCATTTTGCAAAAGTAAATAAAGTATTGGTATTAGAAATAACAATCTTTCAGTAAGGGACTTTAAACTCATCAATGACAGCTTGCAAGAATCCGCACAAGAATCTTAATGTCTTGCAAATGGTCTTGTTCCTGAGAGATGTCTTTTAACGACCTTGCGCATGTTTTTTCTTTGTATTAACTTAAGTGAAAAACATGTAAACAAATAAGCTCTAAATTTAATGGGATCTTTTGGCACTGAGGATTTTAATTTATTGAATCTTAACAAGTTAGATGATAAATAAATCAGACCAGGCTTGTTCCTTGAGACCCACCGATTCCGTTTAAATATTGGGTCCATTAGCATGAAAGTTTTAATCGCTCAACTCATCCTAACACTTTTGCTGCTCCTATTCTTTTTTGAAATCAAGAAAGTTAGATATTGTTTCAACTCAGCGTCTGAACAAAATATACCTTTTTTAATAAATTTTTTTGACGAATCAAAATTTGAAATTGGAGCACTGTGATGGTTGGAGCTTCTCTTGGACTTCTTTATTAGCTCAGGTGCGCAGAGGGCTGCACCTGCTTGCGTCGGCTTCGGCGTCGTGTTTCCAACTTCGGCACTCACCCCACCCTCCCCCGCCACCCCCACCCTACGGCATGAGCCGCAACCGCAACGGTTGGCACCACCGGCCCGGCCCTGGCCCAGCCGGCAGCGGCAGCCGCCTCGCCGCCTCAGTCAGTCTGCGTTGGTCTCTCAGCCACCCCAGAGCCTAGAAGACTACGACGACTTTGCTAACCGCCAACCCTCTGTAATGGCGGAGTGGTTTTGTGATTGTGGGGCCTGGTTGGCCCAGCCCAACCCCCCTATGTGCTTGGACTGCGAGAGGGACTGCATCTGCAAGTGTGGCATGCCGGTTTTGTCTACGGAAAAAGGCGAGTGCTGGGATTGCAAGTTCACGCGAACTGGCGTCAGGCCAGAGTCCCAGTCCGGTCAGGCGGGCCGTGGCTCTGGCCGTCACCATTCCATCGACTGCGTTCCTGCTCCTCTCCGTGACTGCTCTGAATGTGGTATGCCAGCAGCCAGGACCACGGACTACTCAGTGGTCTTGTACTGCTTGGCGTGCTACAGGAGGGTCATAGAGGGGATGAGGACGCAGCTTCGCGACTTTTCTCCCCCGTCTGCCCCATCCCCTTCGCCTCCCCCACCTCCCCCGCCTCCCCCGTCTCCCCAGTCTCCCACTTCGCCCCCATCCTTGGAGCATGCCGCTTCTCCTGTCTGGGATCTTGATCCGCAGGACATCGTGGTGGAGGTCCTTAATGACGGCAAGGCGAAGTCGTCGAAATGCCGCATCTGCAACCGGAGGCGCCATGCGGCCAAGGACTGCGACAGGAGGTGGGACCCGGAGCTGCGACGCCGGCGACGGTTGGCCTCCAAGAAGGCCAAGAGGAAGCAGAAGGCCCGCGAGAGCCAGATGGTGGGCGTTTGGTTGCCCGACTCGCCGACGGCTCCTTCCGAGCCGGCGCCAATGGGGAGGCTTTTAGCTCTTCCTCCACCAGAGCAGGACGTTACCGATGAGGAAGACCTGGACAGATCGTTCCTCAGTTGCACCAACGTTTAATGCTCTCCTCATTGGCTGGGCCTGTCGCTACGATGAAAAAAAGATAAGTTCTGACTGCATCTTATATTGTAACATTTAGGCCAATAACCAACTTATTGACATGAACTTATCCTGAACATCATCCTTAACATCCCTCAGGGTTTTGGGAAATTCACACCAGAATTTATACGTATTTTAATTTTTCACCTCCGGTTAAACCACAAAACCAAAGTCTTTACTTTTTTAGAGAAGACGAGATGTCTCTTAAATCTTGCAAGTTCAGCAGCCAAAGAAGCTATCAGAAAATGTGCAACTGTTTTAGGCATCGAATTTTAAGTTAATACAATTGAACTGTAATAAAATTACTTTCTAAAAGTATGTCATTTTTAAAAGAAGTTCATGCAGTTAAAGACATTTATGTGATAGAAATGGTTGGTGGAAAATTCAAATAAGGCTATAAAATCCAAGCTGTGGTGTGGGACCTTCCCAACTGCTTTGGGGCGGAGTTAAGAATGATAATCTAAAGTTTCCACATGTAAAATTAAAGGAGTTGGTTTGATGTCTTATGTTCTTTACGTCCCTATTGTGAAGCAGTTGGAAGTAGTTTAACTTTTTTGCAGTAATATTAACTTTCTGATCTTCCTCAGGCAGCGTGTGGCTCCCAGATTCCAACTGGATACAATTTCTGCCTTTGAATCAATAGCTTGTAAGGTGTGGCAGCACAGCGCTCTGCACTTGAGTGCAGCATGCTGGCTCTCGCCCTCAAGTAGACCAAGTTCAGAGACGGCACCAATTCATTGGAGATGATACGAACTAAGCGGTGAGTGCTTTTGTATCTGCATTTAGCGAGGTGATGTTCTTCCATTCAATATAATCTTATTGCTTTTCTTTTTTCTTTACGTCATTTGCAATTTGTTCCAGGGAGGTCTGAAATGTAGTGTTGGTTACTCGCTTTAAGAGACCAGTTTGTGGATTGTGGTCGGTGTCTCCGTTCTGAAGTGGCATTTATGAGCATGATGATACTAACTGAACGGTGAGTGCTTTGGTATCTTTTATTGTTGAGGAAAAGTTCTGCTGCTTTCCAATATTGCTTAATGTTTGTTTTTTATTTTTCAGGTGTCTTTGTTGCTGTGGTTGTGTTTGTGTTGTCAATAAGTCTTGCAGTATTGGATCATGTAAACAGAGTTAAGTTCTTGTTTTGCTTGTCTTTCAATTTTATTTATTGTTGACTTGATGGTCAGAAATGTTATTGTTTTTGTTCAACTGCATTTAAAATCTATTTCAGGAATTTCTATTCTTTTGATGCTGCGTTGCACTTTGGTTGGTATTGCCTGCACTTCGCCCGGACCAACCTGGACTCTCATTTTGTCACCTGGCCTTTTGATGCATGATGGGATTTTGCAACGGCAAGAACACCAATACTTAAGTGCTGATAAGAACAGCTATCTCTTATCTATTTCTCAGGAAGGGTCTTATTTTTACATTTGGCTTTAGAATTGGATTTGGCAGCTGGACAAAATGGACACAGAATATGTAAAATTGTAAAATCAATGTAAAATATAGATATTGATCACATTTATTTCTAAACATCTATCTTCTGATGCTCAAGATTGTACAATGTCTAGTCTCTTCCTTTTTGCATCTTATATGCACTGTTAGCTTGTAAACTGTTGCAGCAAAGCTCTTGCTCTCACCCTTCAGCAGTGTAAGAAAATAAGTGTGCGTTCCCATGGCATATATTCATTTATAATGCGAAATTTAGTAGTGAAATCTAATGTTTCCATAAATAAATAAATGACTACAAACTTGACTGAACTGTTGTTAATTTAATCATCCACCTAAACAACCTGATTCATACAAAATCAGCATTATGTTCTTTTTAAATCTGAACACAAACACAAGTTCAAAGGGCAAGAAGCTGGACTTGAACAAAACAAAGAGAAATTGTATGGTGGTGACAACACGCATAACTAGACTGACAGCAGTGACTGAAACATAATTAGACACAAACAAAGACATTTTTAAAAAATGTACAACCTCCAGGAAATTAACAATACTGGACACTTCACAGTTTCAAACCACATCTATTGAAATTGGAGCTGAAGCCTTTATAAAATATTAACTTAGTAAAAAATAAGTGTTTCAAAATACTGGACACTAAAAATGAGTGGAAACAATGCTAATGAGTACTGCATTTGCAACATGGTTAGATACTTATGAAATGCTTCTGTTATTTGCTTTTATTTACTGCTCATTTCACAAATATTGTCTATCAAAATCTTAAAAAAGGAACAGGGACTTATCACAACTTTCCATTAAATAATACAAATATATAGATTGAAGGTGAAGCCTCTTTAAAACAAATTTGTTGAAGTGTTATTGGAATATTGGAACATTACAGAGGGCTTGAATGCTTTCATGAAAACATCAAAGAATGTAAACCAAAAGATTGCAGGAACTTAAAAGTTTATCGGCATTGCTCTGGAGAATTGTGAGCATAACTGAGGCAAAGAGATAAAAGGTTAAAAACGGTAAGTTAAAAAATTAATTCAGCTCTCTAACGCTGAAACAAGAGGATCAGTAGGAGGGGTTCAGTCTCTGAAAAGTTCTGCAAAATGCTTGCTGACACCATCTTCTAGATCATCTTCCGTCTCTGTCTAGGTATGCCATCATTAGTGAATAAGACATGCTCTGCAGTTCTTAGAGTTTCTTTGCCTTGAAGAGCACCATTCTGAAAAGAAGTATATTATCACAAATAAACCACAAAAGATGATTGTACAATATTAATAAGGGTGAATTACGTACAGTTTCATGGGTTGTCAGCCCATCTTTCCTTGACCCTCTCAGGAATAACAGTTGCCAGGAATTTCACCGCTGAAGGTGAAAGCTGAACAAATTGAGAAAAGAATGCAATGAACAATCCAAACTATCAAAGAAAATTGTAGCTTAAATGAAGGAGTATGATGGGGACACTTACCATTGATCAATCAAGTCAAGTAATTGAAGTTGGGACATCAATTGGTGCAAATGCATTCCAACCCGATAGAATGGAAAATGATGAGCGAGGAGTTGATAAGTTGGTCGGGCTCGTCGGAGGGTCCAGTACTTGCAGGGCCTGGTTATTTCCTCGATACACCTGCCAACATCACATGAACAAACAATAATATGAAAACTATTCCAGATGCCATAAAAAATACAAAAATACGGATAGTAAAGATTTTGGAAATGAAAAATAATTTGAAACAATAAATTTCCCCACACTGAGGCCTCCTTCCTCCGGGACTTTATTGACTCACCACAGTTGACCGAAGGTGCTCAAAACAGTTGACCACCAAGTTGACTACTGAAGGGCGCTGAAGGCGGCTGAAGGGCAAGCCGGACGGAGTAATTTTCTTTCAGGCATCGTCCTTGGTCCCTTTGCGGTACTGATTTCCTGAAACAGAACCAATGACTTTAAACAAGAGTGCACAGACATGGAGGACATTCCAGTTACACAGAAAAAAACAAAGCTGTTGAGAAGGGTTAAACAAAGCAGAAAAGCAACATCTATTCTGATAAGACGCAATGGGAGAGTCGAGTGAATCGGAAAGAATGTGTCCTTTTCATCACAAAACACTCTAACATGACAACAACTCGCAACAGCTCGCAACAAATCAAGGGTTCAGAAACAGATAGCAACGAGCTTGGATAGGAAATACAGCAGAACATTCTTCAAGCCGATCAAGCAAACCAAAACACACTCATGATTCGCAACTAGGTATGTCTTTCCCCATAAAGAGGGAAGACTTGACCGGCTTGACTCAACTTAAGTTCACAGAAATGCACACTTTAGTCAGTTTGGAGGATAGTGCAAAGAGTCCAAGTAAATCGAAGCAAATCAATGAAGAAATTCAGAGGCGAGTCTTAAAGTGGATCTGTGTACCCAGTCACAGCCAATGGACCAACCAAAAAACTCAGTGCAAAATTTCATTCAACGCAAGCAATACAGACAGCAGAGCAGAGCAACAATAAGACCATGAGTAGTCTCATGATAAAACGTTAACATCGGTGAACATGCTCTAAAGAAATCAAGAACCGAGGAAATGATTACCGTTTTTCTGCATTTTTGTTTCGACGAATTTCGTGGAGAACGTTTCATAACTTTACGACCAGTTGAAGGAGTTCTCGTCGCACTTTCCTTCAGCAGAGAACAAGACACCCTTCCTTCCACTCTTAAC